TTATTTGTCTTCAAAGAAACTTCTGCCAAATAGTCCGTGTTATAATCTCAAGCCCAAGTTACTGTTTTTTCTCATTTAGAAACATATCACAAACTTTAAAAAAAAATACAAAATAGAAAACCCTGACACAATATTTGTTAATATGGAATAAATCACTTTGAGGTTCTATTATTTAGTAAAATATACATGTATTGGGGAAAAAATATTTCTAAATCTGTCATAATACATTTTACCATAGTTTTTTAAGTACTCTGCATGAAGCTTTTTATCTTTACTAGGGTAGAACTTTTATATTTTTATCTTTTTTTTAAAAAAAATTACATCAGAAACATCTGAAAGAGAAAATAAGATTATTGAGGACTTTACTGGGTAAATAAATATTATTTCATAATTTTTCAGTGATAACTAAATCTATGTCAAAGAGGCATCAACTGAAACCTTTATAACTTTTGGCACAGTTACATTTTGAAAGTAAAATTAGTGTTTTAGGCTTTTTTTTTTTAATTCCATAAATGCCATGGGAATTTTATCACATTTCAACACTTGCTGAATATGTAATTCCCATAGTGACCATTAGTGGCCATCTGTGTAAGGTAATACATGTTTGGGATGAAATTGATTACGGCCTAAACACTCTTGTGTTAAGATCAGGAAAAGCACGCAAAGTTCAAATCTTTTTTCCTAATGGTCGTTATGTAGCTAAAGATATTAATTTCCAGAGACTGAGCAGTCTATCACTCAAGATCTAATCTCACGACAGATGACATCGAGGCCAGAGGAAAGGAAGCTGCAGGCCGTCCACTAAGATTAGTCAGTGACGCACTGGAGGAGCCCTTAGGATAAAGGGGAAATTAACAGGCTTTCAGATGCAGTTTTTCTTTTGCAGGCAGCTAAGTAAACCCACTGCAGTTTTGCTGAATATTCAGGAATGTTTCACTAGAAATTCCTGTTTTCATAGCCACCAACACTCTGCACATTAACCTGCTTATGACATTTCTCAACATGTACATGGCTGGCCCTACATCTTTGGTACTTTATTTTTGCCTGGTTTGAAAAATGTTTCCTTTTTGCCTGTACAAAGCCAGATGCTTTCCTTCTTTCAAATGTGCTTTCAATATAATCTCCCCTGTGCAGTCCTTTTATTTTTATTAGGCGTGTGAAGGGCAGTGGATACCCGGCCACTTCCTGTGCTCGTTTATCCCCTTAGAGTAGAACTAGAAAATATACAAATATGTTTGTTTATTTATTTCTGATTAATGTATTCACATCTTGGCTTTCATATTATCTACCCCTGGGTCTTGTGAAATATTACCAAAAAAATTTAATTTTTTGGTTTAAAAGTTTTGAGAGCATATATTACTCAACTGTCGTCATGAGATCCTTTAAAAATCTTATCATGCCTTCTGTAGAATATCTAACATTTGAATACAGCTCTATCCTGGTCTTTGCTGGGATGTGGGCCAGAATGATTTAGCTACTAACATCCTAAGAGTAGCTGAAAGAATTGATGAAATCATTGTCTCAGTGTTGAAATTCAGCAATTGTGAGGCTAGCATAGTTAATGCTGGACTGGTCTTCCTTTTCATTCTTGAACTTCTTGATGATGATTATTCATCAGTTTTTGATAGATTTCAAATCTGCTTCCCATTAAAGATAATAAAGTAATGCCATGTTTTTAAAGAAGGAAATTTGCCTTCCTATCATATATATTATATACTAAGAAGTCATCCATCAAGTGCATCTAATAGCTGCATAAGTTATTTGGAGTATATTGGAGGGAAAATGGTCTAGATTGCAACAGTACTTTAGAACATTTGGATTTGGGTGTTTTGGGTTTTGTTTTTTTTTTTTTTTTCTTTCTTTGTCACTCACTCTCTGCACATATATCAAACTCTGACTATCAGTGTTCTGGGGATACAGTATAAAGATGAATAAGACATGGCCCATGCTTTTTTTTTCCATTTAAAACTTCCCTTTCTTTATAAAAGACTCCCCAGAGCCCTTCCTCAGCACTACCTCAGCATCTGGGCTTGCAGGGTCTCCTTGAGTCAGCACTTCCTGCCCAGGCCAGCACTGTTACAAGAAATATGCCCACGTCAGGGCCCTGCCCTCCCTGCTGCCAAATTGGAACATCAGCCCGCAAGCAGAGGGAGAGCGCCATCTGTCCCTCTCCTTGGTGTTAAGTAGAGAAGTACTTGAATAAAGAAGTCAGTACTAGCCCTTGATGCACCGATGCCCATTTAATTTACTACAGCCGACATGGATGAGAGCTGACTGTTGTTCTGGGCGCCATCGTTTACAGCAAGGGACAAGGAGGGGATGGGCGATGCAGGACATCTTGGCTCAAGCCCTACCCTTCTGTAACCTTACCCGGATGTCACTGTCGTTTATCATTGCCCCTCTCTAGGCTTCTATCACCTCATTTATAAAACAAGGAGTTTGGAGACATGGTCCCTACTTTTGAACAAAACTACCAGAGTCATACATTTAAGCAGTTAACCTTAATGTGATAAAGTAAGGGCTTCCCTGGTAGCTCAGACGGTTAAGAATCTGCAATGCAGGAGACCTGGGTTCAACCCCTGGTTGGGAGGATCCCCTGGAGAAGGGAATAGCAAGCCACTCCAGTATTCTTGCTCAGAGAATTCCATGGACAAAGGAGACTGGCAGGCTACAGCCCATGAGGTTGCAAAAAGTCGGATACGAGTCAACGACAAACACTTCCACTGTCAAGATGTGTAAAAAAAGGCAGAGTTCTACCAGAGCACAGCAGAGGGAAAAACTTGAATTAAGAAGTAAATGGAAACTTCAAAAAAGGAGTAGCTTTTGAATCCGGACTTACAGGGTGAGCCAGAGCAGGGCAGTGGGGGATATGTGTGTACCTATTGTCCGTACATATACATGTAAGTACCTGCATGCATGTATACAAACACTAATTCATGTGGTGTTGGAGAAGACTCTTGAGAGTCCCTTGGACTGCAAAGAGTCCAACCAGTCAATCCTAAAGGAAATCAGTCCTGAACATTTATTGGAAGGACTGATGGTAAAACTGAAACTCCAATACTCTGGTCACCTGATGGGAAGAACTGACTCATTGGAAAAGACCCTGATGCTGGGAAAGATTGAAGGCGGGAGGAGAAGGGGACGACAGAGGATGAGATGGTTGGATCGCATCACCAACTCGATGGACATGAGTTTGTGTAAGCTCCGGGAGTTGGTGATGGACGGGGGGGCCTGGTGTGCTGCAGTCCACGCAGTCGAAAAGAGCTGGACTCAACTGAGCGACTGAACTGAACTGAATGTGTGTGCACACGTCTGTGTTTAAGCACTGTGGCAGAGACTGTGAACCGGCTAATGGACCACCTGCTCCCATCCCCATCCTGCCTTGCCACCTCCACTGAGTCTAGAAGAGTTAAATGTTGATAGTTACGGATGGCCATGTAGCACCATCTGGCCTGTTGCTATATTTAGAAATATGTTGAGGAATTTTATAAACCCTTTTGCTCTTCAAATAAGAGATGGATACATTTGGTTTCACCTCCTTATTCTTGTCTTCAGAGTGGTTGTTGTAGCTGTGACAGTCACATTGAGACATTCAGAGAGATCTAGAGAATGAGTGGAAATACAGTCAAGCCAACCATCTTTTACCCAAAATACCCACTTCAGTACTAATGATGTAAGAAATATGGAACTTTACTTAAGCTACTTTTAGTCAGATTTTCCTATTATTTCTAGCCAAAAACATTCCTAAGTAATAGACTCAGCAACTATACCCACACACACACTCTCGATTTTACATGTTTGTATATATATTTAACTTTATTTTCCATACTTACCAAGGCTTGGGGCTATTTTTAGCCTTGGATTTTGATGAAAAGTAAATAGGACTTAATGTTAGAGAAAAAATAGAAAGTGGAATGCCTTCTTCGTTATTACCAACCCAGACACTATCCTTTGCAATAATTCCCCTTGTATCTGTTCTGTCCTTGTCTGATAGTGTGAATGAAACACGAAGGCAAGCAGGAAGGGAATGGTTGAGAAGAAAGATACATGCTGAAGCAGTTCATTCTGGAGGTTAGGTTATGGGGAACATGCCTAAGACTGAGAAGTAGTTGGTGTGGCTTGTAGAACACCATTGGGAAGGGTACTCAACTGGTGTCAATGCCTGGTCACATGATAGACAGGTCTAAATCATAGTCCATCGTTGCACGTACCTGTGTATTTAGGACCAAGAACAGCATTGTCTGTTTCCATTTGTCAAGCCAGAGTTCCCTAACAGCCAGGAGATTGCTCTCCCTCTCCCTCCACTTAGGAAGATGAGAGAAGAAAGGCATTCTTCTTTGTCCGAGACCGGAACAGCTTTCCACAGCGTGGTCTGGTTGTGCTCCGTCTTACGTGAAAGATAGCATCTGATAAGCAAGAGACCTTTGATGGACTCTGAGCTTCCCCTGCACGAACGGGAAGAGCGCGAACGGCACTCAGCCCGCTCTTTCTCTCGGAGACCGATGCCGTCACTTGGCTTATTGCTCCTGTGTTCATCCTGATTGTATTATGCGTCTGCATTTCCTGACACCGTATCCCGCTGTAACTTAGTAACGCCAGCATGTAACTTTACTCTTTTTCAACCAGCTCAGTTGGATTATTCCCCACTGCGGTGAACCTTGCATTGTTTCTGTTTTTATTTTTGCGCAGTAGCCACCTGCCCCTGTTTAACTGGCTTTGTTTCCTTCCTTCTTCCTTTGTGTGTGTGTGTGTGTGTGTGTGTGTGTGTGTTTAGAATCAGTTCCTTACCTTAGGGAGGCGTCAGGTAGCTCCACTCTTCTGTCAGAAGTGCTGGATGAAATGTAGGGATCCTGGAGAGAAAAAACTCAGTGGGATAGTTGGAATTCACACTGAATTCATGGATTATCATTTAGTCTCTGATTTTAAAACACCTTAATGTTTTGTTCTTAAAGACTCAAAACCATTTTGTTAATCTTAAAAATGCTGCTCTTTTTCTTCAGAATCTTCAGCTACTGGGAGCTACAGCTATCGAGGATAAATTACAAGATCAAGTGCCTGAAACCATCGAAACTCTAATGAAAGCAGACATCAAAATCTGGATCCTTACAGGAGACAAGCAGGAAACTGCCATTAACATTGGTAATTCACCTAGTGTAAACGTTATGTCATGGTGCTTTTTAACATGTTTTGATACATTTTAGAGGATAGATTTGAGATATTTCAAGATTTGAAAGAGTCAGTATTTCGAGATTTCCTTATTTGTAGTTTCACCCAGCTTATCTCCTTGCTTATGGCCCCAGCGCCCCCTTTAAAGATGCGGTGACTATGGATACAGCCACACTTTAGCTCTTGCAGCCAAGAGTTCCCTCTCTGACCTTTGAACCCTGCCTGCCCCTAACTCACCTCCATAATTGACACACGCGGATGTACTTTCTGCAGTTGTCTGCCGGGGTCTGGAGACTCGGATTATGGCGAGCTTGTATCCTGACACTTGTTTATGTGGCCAAAGGTCATTTCTGAGATAGGAAGTAAGGTTTTGCCAGTTTTCATTGATCTAACAATTAATTCTGATTCTACAGAAAGAGGTTATATTAGTCAGCTCAGGCTGCCATAATAGAAAATGGCATATTAGGTGACTTAAGCATCAGACAGTTATCCCTTCACAGCCCTAGGAGCTGGAGTCCCAAATCAAGCTGTCAGCAAGTTGGTTTCTCCCGAGGCCGGCCCTCTCGGCTTGCAGATGGCCACATCTCTGTGTATCCTCGCCCGACGTCTCCTCTGGACGCTCACAGAGCGTCTGGTGTTCTGTCCTCTTCCTGTGAGGACACTGGTCCTGTTGGATGAGGGGTCACCTTACGATCTCATGTAACTCTAACTCTTTGAAGACCCTGTCTCCAAATGCTGTCACACTGGTGGTTGGGGCTTCAACGTATGAACTGGAAGGTGGGGACACAACTCAGTCTGTAACAGAGGAGAAAGGTAATGTTTGCTGGTAGAGGCCTGTAGTACCAATAATGTGCAAGAAAAATAGTCATTTTTTCCCCCCAAATTCAGCAGTAGTATGTGGCCTGAGCACTGTGAACCCTGACATCAACCTCTGGATGATACTGATGATACAAATTATACACAAAACTCTCCCAAAATTAAAGAAACCATTTCAGGAGTGTTCACAAACTGAAACCACATTTTTTGAAAGTCACTAAGTATCATCTATGTAAAAAAAAAAAAAAAGATTTTAGCTAATATTCCTTTTAGAAATGTGAGTAATCAAGGGTATGTTCTGTGATAAATACTATACTTATATAGTATTTATATTAAACAGTATAAATACTATAAATTCATAATAAGTTGATGTTCATAGGGGAAAATTAATTTTTAAAAGGAAACTATGAATTCCCTGGTCGTCCAGTGGTTAAGACTCCACACTTCCACTGTGGGAGTATAGATTTGATCCCTAGCCAGGGAACTAGGATCCTGCAGGCACAGGTTACAGCCAAAAAGAGGGAAAAAAGAAAAGAAACCCAGAACATAAAATTTAAACCTACAAGCCAAGCAAGTTGTTAATTTTGATTTTAAAAATTTCCACTGGTGTTAGAAGCAACATGAAAAGATGTATGAGAAAGCAGAATTCTTTAGAATCAGGAGACCTGGAAAATGCAAATATGATAAAGCACTGTGACGACAGATAGAGGGGGAATGTGTGGGGGTTAAGAGTGGCCTGTGGGGAAGACGTACAGTCCTCAGGATGGTCCTGGGTATGTAGCCAGTGTGAAAATACCTATGAAAGGGAGAGAAGGGTGGTGGTTTCTAGCTGCCCTTAACTTCTAGAATCCTAAAAGTTGTCCCTAGAAAAAGGAAAGTAAGATTCATTCATTCAGCAAATGATTACGGAGCCTGTGGTGCCAGGCGTCAGTGAAGAACACAGAGCAAAACGCATCAGAGCCTCTGCCATCGGAACTCAGATTCTGGTCAGGGAAACAGACATAAAGTAAATGAGAAAAACACATAACATATTCGATGGCAATAATTGTTCTAAAGAAAAATAAAGCAGGGGAGGGAGAATGGGGCATTACCCAGAGGGGTTCAATTTTAAATCACGAAGTCAGGAAGACGTATTAAAAAAGCGAAAGCCCAGAAACAGCCTATGAGAAGAAAGGGAGCTTGTCCCTGGAATGGTTTGGGAGAGCCGTCCTGTCCTGCAGAAAGCGCAGAGATGCCCAGGGCTAGAGGAGGAGGAGAGGGGAGCAGTGCGTCGGAGTTCAGTTTGGACAGAGCCGCCTACACGGCTGTCCAGTGTTGGCATTTCCTCGGTAGGGAAGCAAGTTTTGAAGCAGGAAGGCCAGAGGCTGTTGAATTAACCCAAGTAGGACCTGGTGATGCTTGAACCTGGGTGGTCAAGTAGAGGTGGTGAGGAATGGTTGGATTCTGGATGTGTTTTTGAAGGTACAGCCAACAGGATGGATTGATAGATCAGACATAGGGTATGGGAGAAAGGAAGGAATCCCAGGTAACTTCACGGGGCTTTAGCCTTAGCAGTTGAAGGATGGAGTTGCCATTAACCAAATGAGGAAGACTAAAGGAGGAGTGAGTTTTCTGGATGGAGGTTAAGAGCCTGATTTTAGATATGTCAAGTTGGAGATGTTTATTTTATACCTAAATATCTGCTATTAAGTAGGCACCGCCATGTGAGAGTCTAGAGTTCAGGAAAGAGGTCTGAATGGGATTTATGAGTTCTAGAATGGTCAGCATTTCAGTTCAGTTCAGTCGCTCAGTTGTGTCTGACTCTTTGTGACCCCATGAATTGCAGCACGCCAGGCCTCCCTGTCCATCACCAACTCTCAGAGCTTGCTCAAACTCATGTCCATCGAGTCAGTGATACCATCCAACCATCTCAGTCTCTGTTGTCCCCTTCTCCTCCTCCTGCCTTCAGTCTTTCCCAGCATCAGGGTCTTTTCAAATGAGTCAGCTCTTTCCATCAGGTGGCCAAAGTAGTGGAGTTTCAGCTTCAGCATCAGTCCCTCCAATGAATATTAAGGACTGATTTCCTTTAGATGGAGTGGTTGGATCTCCTTGCAGTCCAAGGGACTCTCAAGAGTCTTCTCCAACACCACAGTTCAAAAGCATCAATTCTTCAGCTTTCAGCTTTCTTTATAGTCCAACTCTCACATCCATACATGACTACTGGAAAAACCATAGCCTTGATGAGACGGACCTTTGTTGGCAAAGTAATGTCTCTGCTTTTTAATATGCTGTCTAGGTTGGTCATAACTTTCCTTCCAAGGGGTGAACGTCTTTTACTTTCATGGCTGCCGTCACCATCTGCAGTAATTTTGGAGCCAAAAAAATTAATGTCTGTCACTGTTTCCACTGTTTCCCTATCTATTTGCCATGAAATGGTGGGACCAGATGCCCTGATCTTAGTTTTCTGAATGTTGAGCTTTTAGCCAACTTTGTCACTCTCCTCCTTCACTTTCATCAGGAGGCTTTTTAGTTCCTCTTCACTTTCTGCCATAAGGGTGATGTCATCTGCATGTCTGAGGTTATTGATATTTCTCCCAGCAATCTTGATTCCAGCTTGTGCTTCATCCAGCCCAGCATTTCTCATGATGTACTCTGCATATAAGTTAAATAAGCAGGGTGACAATATACAGCCTTGACGTACTCCTTTTCCTATTTGGAACCAGTCTGTTGTTCCATGTCCAGTTCTAACTGTTGCTTCCTGACCTGCATACAGGTTTCTCAAGAGGCAGGTCAGGTGGTCTGGTATTCCCATCTCTTTCAGAATTTTCCACAGTTTATTGTGATCCACACAGTCAAAGGCTTTGGCATAGTCAATAAAGCAGAAATAGATGTTTTTCTGGAACTCTCTTGCTTTTTCGATGATCCAGCGGATGTTGGCAATTTGATCTCTGGTTCCTCTGCCTTTTCTAAAACCAGCTTGAACATCTGGAAGTTCACGGTTCACATATTGCTGAAGCCTGGCTTCAAGAATTTTGAGCATTACTTTGCTAGCGTGTGAGATGAATGCAATTGTGCGGTAGTATGAGCATTCTCTGGGATTGCCTTTCTTTGGGATTGGAATGAAAACTGAGGGATGAGATCACAAGAAGACTGAGTGTAGATGGTACTGTTTTAAATGTGAGCTGGGCCAAAAAGGCTGCCTGTTTTTGTCTAGCCACCTTCAGCTGTAGGCGCACGAGTGCACGTGGGCAGAGCTGGTTTGATCAGCTGTAGGCACACAACTGCACGCGGGCAGAGCTGGTTTGATCAGCAGGTGCGTTTGCCCCGCCCCAAGTACAGCGAAGCTAGAGAGAAGAGACTGTGGCCACAGTGCAAGGGCAGGGAGGTCGCGGTGGGATCAGCGGTCCGAGAGAAGCCCAGGCAACCTCCTGCATCCTTCTCCCGAAACAAGCCCTGGCCCATCTTCTGCTCTCCATGTGGGTCCTCATGACGGCTGTGCCACATGCGTTTATCAGTTTTCAGAACACTATATTCTCTTTCCACGTTCATTTATCAAGGCAGCTTTAACCTGTCAGGTGATGTCCTTGTATCTTATCCCTCTTTTATAGCAAGCAAGAATATTTCTTTTTCAAACTTCTGCAGATCTAGAAGACAGTTGACTGCCATCTTTCCTGTTAAAATAGCATTTTAATTTTACCAAATAATATAGATAAAATTCAGAATTTTTATAGTTGTAGCATTTTATCATCTTCACCTTCTTTCTCTAGAGAAATTAATTATATCAACCAATTTACTCTGTTTGGACATAGGACACTCCTGCAAACTTCTGAGGAAGAACATGGGAATGATTGTTATAAATGAAGGCTCTCTTGATGTAAGTAAGATTATCTTTTTGAAAGACTTTTAGTAACTTACTTTGCGTTTTATATTTGGCTAACTGTTGAGGTATTTTGTTTTCCTGGGTTAAAAGGTGCCTTATTACTATCGTTCTGCTGGAACAAACGTACACTGTTTTGAACCACTGATGTAAACAGATGCTAGTTTTGTGTCTTTAACAGCTAAAAGAAATTGCTAAACGTTGTGAGACCAAAAAAAAGCTGCTTTACAAAAGTATTCTGTCAAGAGATTGCTGAGTAACTACAGCTTCTTTGTATCTGCCTGAGTATTTTGTATATTTCAGTATTATTACATACTATATATGTAATATTTCAGTATGAATATTTTGCTTCTTTTTTAAAAAAATGTGAAAGCTATTGAGCAACACCAAATAGCCAACAGTCAACTTTTTTTTTAACGTCTGAAGTTCAGAGCTGAAATAGAAATTCCTTGGATGTCTGTTTTCATGACTATGATCGCATGAAGTTATGGTTGGAAAGGAGGGCAAAGATTATTTTAGGAGTATAATAGATAAAAGTTAACCCCCCAAAATGTAGGTCATGACCTGTAAATATTTTAAGGGAAAGATGACTATTTGCAATTAAGGTGGAAGACAGAACGGGAAAGGTGATATACAGCTGCTTGAAATACCCATTGTGACGCAAAGAGCAGAAGAGGAAACCTGATAAGTAGGGATGTTGGAGAAGCTGAGAGGCCGGCTCTGTGGAAGGGATGGTGAAGAAGTAGATATTTAGAAGTTGGGTATAGACAGGAAACTACATGTAAGAAGTACTTTGTTTGTGATTTTTAGCTGGAATCATGATCTCTTCTTTATTATTGTGCTTAAAACAAGCCTTGTGATGCACGTCCCTTTCTTGTGAAATCTTTGAGCCCCTTGTAGCCTGAGTAATAACATATGATTTTGCAAGCATGGGACCTGCTTACGCCTTTAATTATTGGAGAAGTGCTTTTTGTGAACCAGGCTTTAATCCTAAAAACACAAACAAACAAACAAAGCTAGCCCTCAGAAAGCTTACAAATATTAAGAGAAGTACATTGCATACAAGTAATAATGCAAAACAAATAGGTAAGGTAGATAACTTGCTGTGAAAATATCATGAAGTTTTAGTAACTATTTGCAAAATAAGTGGCATTTAGTTACATAAAGGTGAGTAACACGTGAGTAACTGAGTTGGAGGAGCAGAAGCAGAAAGTTAGTGCAAGTCAAGTTCCTCTTTGGGTGCCTGACCGAGGAGCATTAAACTTGCACACAAGATTATAATTTTTTAAGTATGTTTTGTTTGAATAAACATAAACACAGAATGTAAAGCTTTTCCAAGTTATGAAAAGAGAAAATATAGATGGTAAAAAGTGAATCTCTCACCTTTTTTTCTTTTATTGAAGTATAGTTGATTATAATGTTGTGTTAATTTCCACTGTGCAGCAAAATGACTCAGTTCTATATACATATGTATACGTGTGTGTGTGTGTGTGTGTATACTGTTTCATATTCTTTTCCATTTTGGTTTATCATGGGATATTGAATATAGTTCCCTGTGCTATATAGCAGGATCTTGTTGTTTATGAATATCCCACCTTTATACCCAAGCTACTAGTTTACCTTCCTAGGGATGGCCACTAGTTCCAGTCTTGTGTGTTCATGCAGAGCGGTTCTGCCATATCTAAGGGATTTATGTGCATGCCAGTCGACACATCCTTTGTTGTTAAACACATATTACAGCATCCTGTCCACACTCCTTGATATTGCACTTTGCTTTTCTCACTTAATATATCTTAGCAGTTTTATAATGGTCCGTATGAAGCTGCCCAATTCGTTTTAACAGTGGGCACAGTGTTTATAAGGCACCCATTAAAAAGTGATAGAGGGAGTTAAACCTGGAGAGGTAGTCTCAGGCCAACTGTGGAAAGCTAGGCCAGGTTTGAGTTTGCCTTCATAGGCAAGGGGTGTGACTTCATCAGCCTCTTAAAAGAGGTGTAATGTGTAGAAGCAGTTGGCAAGTTGGAAGGGTACAGACGAGGGACCAGCATAGGATTCAGGGAAGAGGAAATGGAGCACAGAGCCAGCGATGGGATGCAAAGTTCAGGGACACTTATCCCCATGGGGGTCCCTGGAAGACGAGCCATCCAAGGTGGTTCCAGAACTGGGTTGCAGTTGTTCACAACCTTGCAAAAACTTCAGTGTAAATGTTTCCATAACCCCTATAGACCTTTAGGCCTTTGTCAGCATCATAGGTTAAACGTGATGCACAGACTTCCTGACACTTGAAGGAAATCAGAAGTGGGACCTGTGAGACGGAAGTGAAACATGGTTGACCACATGCTGGATTTGACATACTTTCCCTTTTGTCTGGATTTAGGCTTTCACCTTACATAGAGTGTGCTGGCATTGCTCCTTTTGTTTTCATCTGTTTCATTATTTTTCTCCAACTCTTGGATAAACACATCCAAATGTTCTTGAAGTGTTTTTAGTGTCAAATAATGTAAACAGTAGCCTTGAGGAAAAAAACAAAAAGAGAAAACTGAAATGCCGAAAATATTCTGTGCACTGAATCTTATATTGTTAAGACGGAGGCATTTATTTTCATTCTGAAGTTTCCAAGATGGTAACTCAAAACTAAGAGACACTTCAAAGGTTTTTGCACTTCCTGTTGCTACAGGAGCAAACATAAATAGCCTCCGGGGAATGATCGTTTTCAAGGAGAGCAAGGACCCCGTCTGTCTATTTTGGTTTTCGATCTCTGTCTCCAGCAAGTTGTCTAGCACACTGTTGTGTGCGTGCTCAGTTATGTCTGGCTCTTTGTGACCCCATGGACTGTAGCCCACCAGGCTCCTCTGTCCATGGAATTCTCCAGGCAAGAATACTGGCTTGGGTTGCCATTCCCTTCTCCAGGGGATCTTCCTGACCTAGGAATCGAACCCACATCTCCTACATTGGCAGGTGGATTCTTTACCACTGAGCCATAAATATTTGAGAAATGGGTTACTGAATAATGTTTAATTAAGGGCTCCCTTTTTAAAAAATTTGTATATCAGTTTTAGATGTGGTAGTAGTCAATCATATGTCTTATTTAAAGAGCAAAGTGATTGGAAACGTCCTTAGCAATTTGTGTCCGTTGGGTGTGAAAAATCACAGGCACACGCGACGGCTGAGCAGACTGACACTGATTCGCCCAGCATCGGACTGCCTCTGGTTCTCGCACTGGTGTCTGGAGGAGGCTTTTTCTCCCAGGCAGTTAAGTGGTGACTTTAAACGGATCTGGCTGTCTGGGGTCAGACCTGCTGCGGTGAGCTCATTTGCTTCTCAGCAGGAAAGGAAACCCCACTTTGCATCATAGCTCCTCCAGGTCTTGTGTCATGCAACCCACGGCTGAGATTTCAGGCAAATCATCAGAATGAGTCTAGGCAAATCACCATTTTTCATTGCCATGGAAAAGAAAAGCATCCTCTGTGTTCACGTTTGTACTGATAATAATAAAAGGGTTATCATTCCATCAGCACAAAGAATGATTAACATTCAGGTAATGAACTTAGAAACACACTACCTTAGGAAATAACATAATAGGAAATAAATTGTAGGTGTGCAAAGTTTTGTCAGATCACAATTCTGATGAATGTAGTCACATCACTCTGTACAGTAGCACGGTGGGTCAGGGCCCAGCTCTGCCCCACCTGAGTGGCGGGCTCTGGACAAACTGGAATTAGAGAACTTCTCTAAGCCACTTGTGCTGCCTCTGAGGTAATGATAATGTTACCCTTGGCACAGGACTGGTATGGTTAGCACAGGGCACAGCACGTATGAAGTGAATGTTACAAAACTTTGTAGAAAAATAGTCCATGTTAAAATCCTGCTCCGCAGACCTAATATGGAAATCTGACTTTTCTGCCTCTGTACACTCCCAGCTTCTTTCCCAGAAGAGCAGCTCTCCCCGCAAGCATGATGCCTGGGTGCAGGGCTGGGGCTTCTCACCCAGGTACCTACCCAACTGTTGCCGGATGTTGCAGTGTCAGCAAAAGAGGGTCTTAGGAAGCTTGATCATATGCTTTTAATTTAGAAAGTCAGAATTTTATGGATAAGCCTCTTTAATTATCATGTAAAGTTGATCAAAATCTGTTAGATGTTTATAATAAGCAGGTAATTTAGGTAACATGTAACTTTTTATCATGTAACTTTGAGCCATTTTATTAAGGGTTCTGATTATGATATTCATATGAGACGTTTTCTTAAGGGTCTGCTAAAGCAAGAATTTTAAATTACTGGCTTGAAGAATATTTTGTACTTCTTCCCTAAGTCTACAGAAATACCCAGAAATGACCCCATTAAATTCTCAGAAACCCCTTTGGCTTGATGACCTAGATCCAGGTTCTTCTAGCGTCTCTCTTTTTTTTTAATTTCTATTGGAGAACATTTTTTTTACAATGTGTGTTAGTTGTTGCAGCAAAGAGACTCAGTTATTCATACACATATATCCACCCTTTTCTGATTCTTTCCCATAAAGACCACCAGAGAGTAGTGAGCAGTGTTCCCTATGCTGTGTGGTAGGTCCTTCTTAGTTACGTGTTTTATATATAGCAATGTATATATGTCAACTCCAATTTCCCAATTTATCCCCCAGCATCTCTTTTATACTTTTGGCTTACCATGAAGTAACTTGTTCAAAATATATCTGTTAAAACTGGAAATATCTAGAAATGTGAGCTAAGAACTCGGGAATCTCCCATTGTCTAATTAACATCTTTTAAAATGTAGTATAATGAGTTTATGTTATATTAAGGAGTGTGATGATTATAGTGTTCAAATCCCCCATAGCATTCTAACTCTGTGAATCTCTGAAAATACTTCAGGTGACCCAGAATATTTTTTTTAATGGATATTATCTAGCTTTCTGTAAAAGGTGGAGAGAAAGTGAAGACTGTTTCATTGGGATGGCTCAGGATTTCACCACCCTCATCTGGCAAGCCTGGGTGGGTGGAAGGAGC